AGTAGTAGTAGTAGTAGTAGTAGTAGTAGTAGTAGTAGTAGTAGTAGTGACCGCATCAATCTCGGCCCTTGAGCGTTCTTTACACCTACTGAAGATGAGTGAGTGTACGTAGTGTGATAGTACCCACGCACAGTCTACCGTCACTCAAGACTAAATTAAGCAGTGTTTCTGGCCTGCATTTGAGAAAGCGGCCTCCGCTGGTTTCCGTTAGTTTCCTTGACCCCGATGAAGGTGAAGAGTGCGAGTGGCGCCTGGTACGTCTATTATCACTTAACTCTACTCCCTGATCTCCAGCCACCTTCCCTGCACCAATATGTTTGGTGCATATGGTGGACTTTATCGAAATAAACGGTCGAACACACACTTAAACTCAATATGGCTGCAGTCATGCTTGTCCGAGCCGACCTCAAAAATTTTACAGGTATTAATTCTCCACATGAGACGGTCAGCCGTTAGGGTCTAGATAACTCCACCTAACATAATCTACAGCGAAATAAACATTTTAATTCCGTGTTAGACTCCAACGTCGACATCGGTAACAAAAATTGTTCAAACTATGCCTATGGGATATTAAATTCTTCTCTATTTGCAAAACACGTCAGAATTTCAGTTACTGTCCCCTCTGAAGTGCAAGACTAAGAAACAAGTAGACAGCTGGTTGTTGTGTTTTATAGACGAACTAATCGTAAAACTTAGTCGACAAGACCTTGAAAGGTAAAATCGTGACCCCTCTAACTGAAGACACTTGCCTGATATCAGTACGAGAAGGGTCTCCTGCACAGCAGAATGTGCACTTTCCTCTCCAACACGTACCAGATAGTGTATAATTTATATGTCATAAAAGAAAGTCGAAGCAGGCAGTGTAGATCATTGTACCATGATAACCAGATGAACTCTACACCGATAGCTTGAATATTCTGGAACAAACCGCCTTTATTGACAGTATCGAGGGGACTAACTGGATAGCTGGCTGCATACTGTCCACTAGATATTTCTGCAAATTTGGAGTTAACAAGGTTCAGCATTTTCCTCTTACGCATCCCTCATCAATCTTAAAATATTTGGTGGTACAAGTTTTAACATAGAGGATTCGGCGATATACTTATGTTAAGCCACCCATCAACCATTTGTATTTCATTGACTACACTGGACGCTTCTTTTATTGAAGAAGTCAGTCCCCACTTCCAGATTCCTATCGTATAACAACAGTCCTAATCATCTTACAATTTTTCATTGTTACAACGAAAGTATGATGTTTTGTGACCTGTGTGCCAGGCTTCTGAGGAACCTAGTTTAGTAATTTGCCAAATAAAGTGGTTTATTTACACGCTGAAATCAGGAATGAACGATGTCTTGACGTTCTTGATCGAGGGCTCTTAGTTGTATTAGTTCCCCTGTCTAGGAAAAAAAGTAGCTCATTGTTTGCCATCTAGTTTGTAGTACAAGATGGCTTTAAGATATTCGGATATCGGAATGGCGTTTTGAGTGGACACCATCCAAACTCGCCTGATGAACGTTTTAACTTAAAAAGATCTCGCCCTTTTCTCCCTTTTGTTTAGCCTCCGGGATCCGTACATATTGCCGAGTGACCACAGTTTCTATAACTCGTTCTGGCTCCTCGCTTCTCCTGTTCAGCCACAAAAGACCGTCTCCTGTCGCATCTGTTTAATCGAAGTTGGCATCTCTGAAATGTTCCGCAATCAAGAGCTCTCCTCTCGTCTACGGGGCCTTCACGCAGAATTTTCTGCCTTAGATTCATTAATGTCGCAGTGCTCAGCTTGTCACAACCTCTGCCCCACTCTCACCTACTGTGCACATTGCAGCTCATCAATCTGCAAATCATGCGTGGAGAAACACTTAGTCACGGTGGGTACTGAAGTCTTAGGTTTAAAATTTATTTCTTTCTCCGCTTTTTATGTCGAGGACAGTTGTTACTATTTTTGGCAAGAAATACCTGTTAGTGGCAGTAGTGAAGGTGCACTTTTTACCCATGAAAAAGTACAGAGGCATCGTGATGAATTTTCACTCGACTGTACTTCACGGTAATATCACAGGTGCCACTGGGGTTGACAGGGGTGGTGTGGTCTACTCATTGGTTAGGAGCCGCTCGCCTACTTGCTGTTGAAGTAATGCACAGCGGTTCGCGGTAGCAAGTATGCTCACGTCGGAAAGTAGGTCCGTAGGTTCATGGGTAGCCTTTATATATGTGTGTCTCTGTGATGAGACGAAGTGTGATGTTGGGGTGTGGACTTCGGAACTTAACTGAAGGTTTTCATGCAGGCGAGTAGGATTTAAC